GAATCACTTGAGACCAGGAGTTTGGGTAACATAGTAAGACCCTGTCTCTATAAAAAATTTTTAAAATTAGCCGAGCATGGTGGTGTATGTATAGTCCTAGCTATTCCAAAGACTGAAGCAGGAAGATCACTTGAGCTCTCAGAAGTTTGAGGTTATAATGAACTATGATTGTACCACTGCACTCCAATCTGGGCAATAGAGCAAGACTCTGTCTCAACAAACAAACAAATAAAACTTCAGTTGTCTTTTTCTCTCTCCTGTTCTAACTACAACATATGGTGTTATAGATGTTTGTCTTAGAACACCTCTAAGTGGATTTTTTAAAAAATGAGTGGCCCTTAGCAAATGGTATGCTTTTCAAAACACAAAATCAGGTTTTATTCAAACCTATAACTTCTGAATAAGAATCTAGAGGATAAACCTCTAACCTAACATGTGCATTTAGAAGTAACTCCTTATTAGTGTTTTCCAAATGAATAAAATAGAAAGTCTTTCTCACTCATTAAGATTCACAGTAGTGATCCAATATTCATTACTACATAGCAAAGTAAGATATACTCTCTCTGGCGAAAACATAATACAGATAAGAAAGTCACCTCCTTCAACATAAATACACTTTTAGGAATTAGAATCTGTGGTATATAATGTAAATCAAAGCAGGCAAGGAACATTTCATAAAAGCTGTGAAATCTTAAATTTATGTATGTAAACTTTAAAAGTGCTTTAAAACAACAATGAGGAAAATAACAACAGGAAAAACAACAGACTATTACCAGGAGCCAGGCACTGTTCTATGTACTTTTCACTAATTCACGAGAATCAAATACATAAGAATCAAAGATATAGCTACTAGTAGAGAAGAAAAGTGTATCTACAGGCAGAAGGATTAAGTGGAGGATTAAGCGCACCAGTTTTATGCCATGGACACAAGATGTACCCATACTTAAGGGTCATTAAATGAGAAACATCTAAATTTCATATTACCTATTAAAAATGCTACTAACATAATAAATTAGAAACATTGAGGGGAAAGATCTAATTTCATTGAGGAATTAGAATAATCAATGAGTGAAATAATATGGTGTTTTGGGGAGTGTCAGTGGAAAGTGAAAATACAAAAATATTAAGACAGTTTACAAAAGTAAAACAATAGATGTTATCTAACATCAATAAGAGAGGGCAACAGAGGAAATAAATGACATTTACTGTTAATTATAAGAGCAGAAGGTTTATAGAACTAATATATAAAAATAAGTACAGAAGATTTATGATTCGTCAGTGAAGATTTTAGTTTTAGTTTTAGCCAACTTGGAGGTATCAGACCATCCTCCTGGATCTCCTGAAGACAGGTAAGATACTGAGTTAGAGTGTGCATGGGCCAAAGATACTGGAGGTAGAAATAGTAAGGTCATGAGAGACAACCAAAGCTTATTTTCTAGGCTATAGCAAAATCACATAAATATTTTTAAGATCCCATTTGCAGTTTGTCCTTTAACAGGTAAACTTAGTTCTTTTATATTCTTTTATATTTATTGTGATTACTGAAACCCATCAAGTTATCTTCTACATGTTTTACTTGGTACTTTGTATTTGTCATAGTTTTACTATTAATTCCATTGCACCTTTCTTCCTTTTTATACTGAATTTGAGTTTTTGTTATCTCTCCCATTTTCTCTTTTTATAACTTTGGAAATTATACTATGCATGTTTCTCAATGGGCAGCAATCCATGAAATTTTACCATGAATGCTTAATTCAAAATCTAAAGTGAATCAGTATCTTAAACCTCTTTTCTGAATAACAGAAGGACTTTGAACACAATTCGATCACCCTCACCTCACTTATAAGCAACTATTGGTTAATATATAGTACTGCCTTTTCTATCCTTACATATAAATATTATTATTTTATGCAAACATTATTCAGATTTATCTTTATGATTCCTAATTTCTTATCATTTACCAGTCCTCTTATCTCAAGCATTCTTTTGGAGATTTTCTCTCTTCCTGCACTATCTCCATTAGAATTTTACTAATAAAATTATGCAAATGCTATAGTTTTTATAATGTATTTCAGGATCAACCCAATTTTAATTTTTACTTCTAAAAACTCTAAAATGGTATTCAATATGTCACTTGGACATTCTTTCTTCCTTATGCACTTTGTTTTCTCTTTTATTTGAATGTGTCACACATGATTGTTTTATGCTTACTATCTAATAAATCCAAGACCTTAATTAATAAGTGTTTAAAAATCCATTTTCAGTTGTTTCTGTTTACTCTCACAAATGATTTATTTCCTACAGGTTTTTGTTTTATTTTTATGCTCACAATTTTGTTGAACTTAAATGAAAATCTTAATGCATTGAGTTAGGGTTGCCTTTCCTTAACAGAGGAATTATTTTCTTTTCCTTAAAGCAAGTTACCAATATGAGATGAATTTAGCCTACAATCTGGATCCCCTAGTGTGGGAATATAGGGAAATAAGGGTAAGAGAAATGCCCTCTGCCTATACAGGAGGAGTGGGGAGCCATCTTGGGCCCAGGAGTTTTACCTGGTAGAGGAGACAGAGTCATGTTTTTGGCTAACAGGAGAGCTCCTTACAATCAGTGTTTTGCACATGCACCAAATGCAGGTTATGCATCAACTCAGTTCTTCCTTCCTTTCTCATCAGAGTAGCCTTAACAATGGCTTGCTCTGTTGATAATCATGAAACCAGGTCACTGCAGCTGTCACTGCTACAGTTACAGACTGAGAAGCACCAAGTATTGTGCTGACTTAACAGAAAGACTGCAGTAACCAAGTGGCTGGACTGGACCCAGGGAGGCTCCTGAGCAGCTGCCTAGAGGGGCTGGCTGATGTAATGCAGCAACGTTAGGGAGTTAAAACTCTACAGAATGGTCTTTGTTTAATGAGAGAGGAGGTTAAGAAGACAGCAGATACATCATATATATTCCTTTCCACCTTTCTGAAAGGCTGTTCTGAGACACAGTGAAGCCCCTCTGAAAATGATCTGTTAGACTGAGTAATCAGATATGCTTATAACAGAGCTATCTAGGTAATCATCACCTTGTACTCTCCCTTCCTTCTAACCAGCTTTATTCCCTATTTCCTCATTTCTGTAGCAGGTCTGCACAACCTGACCGATTGGCATCAAGTTTTTACTTCAAGTTCTATGTTGTGAAAATATCAGCTAAAACAGCATATAAGTTTGTTTTCCAAAATATAGATGATGGTGAGGTTTTATTCTCAAAAGTAAAGTCTCTGTTTCTTGCATCCCCACAGACTGTCACTAAAAAACATGACTGTGTGTTTATTTTCAAATTTTACCATATGTCTGCTTCACAGAATCAAACTGTCAAACGATCTCCAGCTATTCCGTGTACTACACTGATGTTGTTTCAAAGAGAGATTTAGGTTTCACACCTCAGAGTATGTACTTTGTCTCTGAAAAGTATTTTGCCACTTCCTTTGAGCATCAGAAATGCTTTTGTTTTCTATTCATCTGCTGGTACATACACCCTTGCTTAATTTCTCAGTGATTAGACAGCTTTCCCATTTGTATTGATTTGGGATTTCAGATATCCCCTAGGGTTATAAAATGAAATTTATATTGCTCATTTCCCTTATTGCTTTTGGATGACTCATATTGATTTGGGATTTCAGACATCCTCTAGTATCCTAAGATAGAGTATGCACTGTTCATTTTCCTTATTACTTCTGGATGATTTGTAGATAGAGATAGCGAAAATGCCTACTTTATGCATCCTTCTTCAAGCAAGTTCACTTTCTCCTTGAAACACTGACTTTACTTGGCTACAGGATACTACATTCTCTTTGTTTTCCCTTATCCCTAAGTGGCTTCTTGTTTCTTCTTTGCTTCTCATTACTTCTGAAAGATAATGTCTGGACAGCCTACCCCCAAGGAGAGGTTATTTAATCCCTAAGCTTTAAATACTAAATTTAAAACTGTAAATACTACCACAAGCTGATAATTTCCAAATAAATATCTCCAACCTGGACTCTCCCCTAAACTACCTGCTGATATATCCAAATTCTTATTCACATGTACACTTGGGTATTTTATAATCACTTTACACTATGTATGTGTAAGCCAAACTTCGAAAAATCCTTCCCAAACTAGTTCTCCCCAATATTCCCCATCTCAGCAACTGGTATCCATTTATTCAATTGCCCTAGATGAAATCCTTAGAGTCACTCTTGATTCCTTTCTTTCTCTCATGCTCCTTATCCAATTCAATAGTTAATCCTTTGGGAGGCCAAGGTGGGAGGACGGCAGAAGCCCAGGAGTTCAAGACCAGCCTGGACAACACAATGAGATCTCATATCTACAAAAAATTTAAAAATTAGCTGGCACAGTGGTGCATGCCTATAGTTCCACGTACTTGGGAGGCTGAGGTGGAAGGGTCACCTGAGTCCAGGAGGTCAAGGCCATGGTGAGCCATGATCATGCCACTGCACTCCAGCCTACTTCAGAGTAACAGAGTGAGACAGTGACTCAAAAAAAGCTAATCTTACAGATCCAGTCAAAACACATGCAGGTGCAGAAGCCAGACACTTATAACTGTCTCCACCATTTCCAGCCAAGAATAAACTGCTACTGACTTTTCAGATTGAAATACTCTCCTGACTGATGATCTTGCCCTTGTCCCTCTGTCCTCAATATTTATTTGCCTACCAGGCAGAGAGAGATATTTTAAAGACAAATCAGTATATGTTGCTTATTGACTCAAATCATACCAATGGCGTCTCAATTTACTCAGAATAAAATCATATCCTTATCAAGGCTCATATGGCACTCTCCATAATTTGAGCTCACACTACCTCTCCAGCATCAATTTGTACCATTCTCCGCTCACACAGTCCCCTCAATCTCCACTGATCTCAAAAACACCAAACACATTCCTACATCAGTGAACTGGCACTTGATGCTACCTCTGCATCAAGACTCCATATGACTCCCACTCTCATTTCATTCAAGTTCATATAATCCAAAAGCCTTTCCTGTTCCTCCCTTCTAAAGTATAACAGTCTATCTTTCCTAGCCTTCTTTAATTTTCTTGCTATTTTATATGACCACTTGACATATTATTATATGCATATATGTGTGTGCTGTTGCCATTTCTTGTTTCTTATCTTCCTCTATCAGAATGTAAGATCCATGAGGTCAGGGAAGAAATTTAGTTCACTGCTTTATTACCAGCACCTAAAACTTGAGTAGCAACTCAATATTTGATAGATGAAAAAAGTGAACATGTGAGCAAACATTTGAGAATAAAAATAATTCATACCATGCCATCTGGTGTCCATCTGCTTAATACATGCTAACTCACCTGGGTAACTACGGCCTAAGAGCTCTTTCTCTAATACCCATGGCTGTTCTCCTCGTTCCAACTTGAAGATGACTTCTGGTTTAGGAATGCAGTACCCTGTGAATAGGAAATGACACAGAAACTGGGTGAGGATAAAGGACTTTAAGGCCTCTGAAGAAGAAGTAAATGAAACTTGAGGAGTCAATTTCAACCTTTAATAGAAAGCGTAAGAAAACAACATTCTTTATGTTTTTCCAACAGATCTTCTGCTTAACACTCTGAATCTCAAGCTTAAAATCGTTAAATTCAACAAAATGTCTATAGGTTTCAGCAACCAAGAAAAAATGTGTACTCTGGGAGTTTACATGGAAAACAATCCCCACTTACCCACTGAGATGAGGTGACTATAATTCTCCAGCATCACATCCCTGTATAAGGTCCTCTGAGCAAGGTCTAGATGCTGCCACTCCTCCTGGGTGAAGCCTACAGTCACATCCTCAAATGATAAGGATCCCTGAAACAGCACATTTGTGTTCACATTTGAGTGATTATAATTAGAAGACATAGAAAAGCTACATGAGAATTACTACTGCATGAGAATTACTACAATGTTCACTCTTCAGAGTTAACCAGAATATGTGTTATGGGATGTCTATTTTCATATTGTACTTGACTGGAGAAGGACAAATCATAACAGATATTCCCCATCACTGTTATAAGTTATTGGTGTCCCACTATGTGCTTATGTGTCACAAATAACTCCTACTTTGGGGAAATTTGAATATAGATAAAAGAATGCTACTATTCTCAAGAAAAATATAATCCAATAAGCAGGTACAAACACATAAACACACAAGTACAATTAGATGTTATAGGTATTATAGTAAAAAGATATACAAAGTTAACTGAGTTTACAAAAATAATATTTTGTTAACAATAATATTGGTATTGTTATGCTGAAAGTATGTTATGCTTTACCACATAAAACAAATAATTATGTTAATGTCCTTTGTACCATAGATTTTTCAAAGTTAAAAAAAGAAAGATATAAATTAAAAGTAAAGTAAAACTCTGTAATACCAAGCTAAAATTAGAAATATTAGTATGGACTCATGATACTTTTTTCCCATTAACCCATTAAAACAGATAATATGTATTTCCTGGTTCAATAAAGAGCTGACTCTAGGTCTAGAAGCAGGAAATGTAAAAAATGAGCCTGAATACCTTATCACATCAGAAAACAAAGAAGCTGTCAAAACTATTATGGTCTGTCAAAAGGACTCAGGAGTTTACTTGAAATAGTCCTACTGGTCAAAGTAGAGGTTCTTTGAGGAAAATAAGGACAACTACAATGGTCTGAAATGCATAATGAATTAGCATACCCCCCTCAAAAAAGTTTACTTATGGAGAATAAGGGGGAAATAATTCATGATTCTGAAACTAACTAAGCATTTAACTTGCTAAAATTTACTGTAATAAGTAGTTGTGAGTTTTTCTGGAAAAATAAAACTTAAGAAAAACCATGAAAAAAATGATTCACAAATATGACTATATCAAAATGTAAAACTTTCACATGACCAATGATACCAAGTTAAAAGACAAAACAGACCTGGAGAAAATATGTGCAACAAAAATTACACAAGAATTACTATACAAAACTCATAAAGGATATTTATAAATTAGTAAGGAACATGGAACAAAATCAGCTGAAAAGTATGAAAAGTACAAACATTACACAGAAGAAAACTGAAAGGCCCAACCTTACAATCAGAAGTACAAATAAATAAAAACAAGGAGGTTTTCTTTATCTACCACAGTGGCTGTAATTTTTAAATATAACAATATTGATTGCTAGCAAGGAGGTAAAGAAAGTGGTACTATCATAAAACATCTGTTGAGAATGGTATGCTCACTTGGAAGACAACTTGGCAGCACCAAGTAACTCTGGAAATTCTTACTCTTTATAGTCCTATACTAATCATGTGTATACTCTAGAGAAACACTTTCTCTTTCTTTGTTTTGTTTTTTTGTTTTTGTTTTTTGAGTCAGAGTCTTACCCATCTTATTCTGTTGCCCAAGCTGGAGTGCAGTGGCACGATCACGGCTCACTGCAGCATCTAACTCCAGGGCTCAAGGGATCCTCCTGCATTTGCCTCCCAAGTAGCTGGAACTATAGATGCAGGCCACAACACCCAGCTAAGTTTTTTTACTTTTTGTAGAGACCAAGTCTCAAACTCCTGGGCTCAAGCAATCCTCCCATTTCTGCCTCCCAAAGTGCTGGGATTAGAAGCATGCGCCACCATGCCTGGCCACTTATTCTTTATGTAGATACAATGCAAAAGATGTTTACTGAAGTATTATGATATAATTAATCAACTTAAATGGATCTTCAGTGCAATTTTAAATTATTTAAAAAGTTACAGTAATATATATACCAAATGAGACAGGCCACATAATACTAAAAAGCATATAAAAAGAAATATACACCCTTCAATGATACATTCATACATTTCTGTATACTTACACAGAGAATGAGGTATCAGTCCACATGTGCAGGATGCTCTGACTTCCTGCCACCACTTTTATTTTAGTCTTGTAAGACTAGTTTCAAACTTCTGGTTTCCAGAACTTTAAGACAATAAATTTGTGTTGGTTTACGCTACTACATGTGTAATAATTTGTGACACTTAATGATAGGAAACCAATATACAAGGGATATGTTATTTGCAAAGAGAAAAAGACTCCTTGAATGAGATGTCATCAGAAGGTAAGAGAGGGAGGTGCAGTGCCACAGGAAGCAGCAATAGAGGCTTTGCAGAAAATAGGCAGAAGGGTCAAATGCTGCAGAAAGACCAAAAACTGTAAAATATCATCAGTGACATACTTCGGTCAGGAAAAATGGCATAGATGGGAACTTACAGAGATCGCTCATCCACAGAAACACCCAAAAAACTAGGGGGGAAAAAAATCAAAACAGCTTTATCAGAATTCTGGAAAACATACAGGGGCTTGCAGCAACCAAGCAAATGCTTAATCAAGAAAAAGACAACTGAAACCCAGTCAGAGAGATCTGTGCTGTTTTAATTTACCCTTGTCCCATCTCACCCTCATAGGCTGTATGAGTTTGCTCTGGCTGTCATAATGAAGTACCACAGACTGGGTGACTTAATAGAAATTTATTTTCTCATAGTCTGGAAGCTGAAAGTCCTAAATCAAGGTGTCAGGAGAGCTGGTTCCTCCTGAAAGTTGTGAGGGAAGAATTTGTTCTAGGCCTCTCTCCTTGACTTATAAATGGCCACCTTCCCCCTGTGTCTTCACATCATCTTCCTCCTGTACATATCTCTATGTCCAAATTTCCCTTTTAAAAGGACACCAGTCATATTACATGAGGACGTACCCTAATGTCTCCACTTGAATTTGATTACCACTATAAAGACACTATCTCCAAATAAAGCCATACTCTGAGGTACTATAGGTTAGGACTTTAACAAATGAATTTTGTGGGAGACACAATTTAACTCATAACACCAACTCAACCATAGTCTTAAAGATGGAATCCCATATTCCTAATGTGATTCCTTGTAATAGAGGAGCAGAATGGAGTTGGTTTTCAAATAATTGGGGTTGTCTGTTTTGACTTGTCTGGTACTGGTTGAAAGGCTAACACAAAGGGTTTAGTGTCGGGAGCAGATGTAATGTGGGGAGCAGACGAGCACTGTCACTGTAGCAGGCCTTGAGTAAAGGCCCAAGCAAAGGCAAGGTCTTGCTTAATGGTCCCAAGCTCGTAGGCAAGGTCTCACTTGGAAGTTCTGCATCCTAGCCAAAGGCAGGCTGTGAAGGATGCAGCCTGCTACATAAAATGGTGTCTTAGATGCCCACACATCTGGGCATAGTGCAGATAAAGCCTTAGCTACAAGATAACTGCAGAACAGCTCACCTTTTATGTAGCAACATAATTCAGTTATGGCTCCCTCGCAGATCTTGAATCCCTTCCAACTAACTTCCCTTGTGCTTGATTATAAAATAAACATGCTGAGCTAGTTCGGGGCCACTGCTTCATCAGAGGAAAGTGTCCCACCTGGTTCCACCTTTTCTTTATGTCTTTGTGTCTGTGTCTTTCTTAATCTCTCGCCACTATCTCAGGACGCTTAAGGCAGCCACACGGACCGCGGCAGTTTAGAAGTATCTCAGACAGGCCAGGCACAGGGGCTCATGCCTGTAATCCCAGCACTTTGGGAGGCCAAGGTGGAGGACTACTTGAGCCCAGGAGTTTGAAATCAGTTTGGGCAACACAGTGAGACCTCATCTCTGCAAAAAAAAAAATTTTTAAGTTAGCTGGGTGCGGTAGCTGAAGTGGGAAGTTCACTTGTGCACAGGAGTTTGAGGCTATGGTGAGCCATGATTGCACCACTATACTGCAGCCTGGGCAAGAGTGAGATGAAGAAGAAGAAGAAAGAAGAAAGAGGAGGAGGAGGAGGAAGAAGAGAGGGAGAGGAGGAGGGGGAGGAGGAGGAGGAAGAACAACAACAACAACAAACAAACAACTCTCTTGGACAGAGAAATAAATACGTGGAGGGCATCTATTGAAAACATTTAAAGATAAGCGAACCAGCTGTTACCACTGGGGCAAAGAATATCAGTTGGAGCAAACAATAAATACAGAAAAATAAGCCTGAGAGGAAGAGCTGGGGAGTGAGATGCTTTGGGGCTTTAGAAAAGCTTCCATACCTTCCTGGGGATCTAGATGATGACACATATATCTAAGACAAGGCCTGTGTTCAGAAAAGACCTGCGAAGGCCCTAATCACTCATCTCTGTTAAGCGGTTAAACTACCTCTATTTGTAGATGGTATGATCTTACAAACAGAAAATCCTAAAGAATACACATACACACACACGCAAACCATTAGAGCTAATAAGTTCAATAAAGTTACAAAATACAAGTTTAATACAGAAAAATTAACTGTTCTATACACTAACAATTAACAATAAGTAAATTTAAAAAACAAGTCTACTTACAATAGCATCAGAAAGATAAAATACTTAGGAATAAGCTGGGCTCGGTGGCTCAGCCTGTAATCCTGCGGCTTTGGGAGGCTGAGGTGAGTGGATTGCCTGAGTCCGTGGGTTCGAGACCCGCCTGGGCAGCAAGACCTCATCTCTACAATAAATCAAAAAAATCAGCCGGGCGTGGTAGTGTGCGCCTGTAATTCCGAATACTTGGAAGGCTGAGGTGGAAGGATCGCCGGAGCCCAGCAGGTCAAGGCTGCGGTGGCCGGAAGCGGCCATTGCACTCCAGTCTGGGCGACAGAGTGAGACTCCAACTCAAAAAAAAAAAAAAACAAAAAAAAAAACTTAGGAATAGATTAATCAAGGAGGTCTATATATGGTTAACTGATTCTCAACAAGGGTGCCGTGACCCATAGGAGAAAAAATAGTCTCTTCAAAAATGGTATTGGGACAACTGGATATCCACATACAATCAAACTACACTGAAAACTGCAAAAATTTGCTGAAAGAAATTAAAGATCCAATTTAAATAAGTAGAAAGATATTCCGTGTTCATGAATAGAATAATTAATACAGTTAAGAAGGCAATACTCCCTAAAATATTCTACAGATTCGGTGCAATCCCTATCAAAGCCCAATAGCCTTTCTTGCAGAAATGGACAACATGACCTTTAAATTAATATGGAACTGGAAGGGACCTCAAAACAGTTAAAACAATCTTGACAGAGAAGAACAAATCAAAGGACTCACACTTCCTGGCTTCAAAATCACTACAAAGCAACATTAAACAAAATAGTATGTAAGTGGCACAAAAACAGAAATAGTTGACCATATATATGTATATATATATATATGGTCAATATATATACGGTTAACTGATTCTCAACAAGGGTGCCATGACTATTCAATAGGAGAAAAAATAGTCTCTTCAAAAATGGTATTGGGACAACTGGATATCCACATACAATCAAATGAAGATGGAATGCTTCATACGATAAACAAAAATTAACTCAAAATAGATTAATACCTAAATATAAGAGCTAAAACTATAACACTCTTAGAAGAAAACACAGAAGTAAACCTCCATGACCTTAGATTTTGCATGAATTCTTAGATATGATATCAAATGCATATGCAACAAAAGAAAATACAGATAAACTAGGCCTCATCAAAATTAAAACCTTTTAAGAATCAAAGGATATTATCAAAATAATGAATTATTAACTCACAGAATGGGAGGAAACATTTGAAAATTATATATCTGTTAAGGGTCTAGTACAAAGAAAACACTCTTCCAATATACTCAATTTAAAAATGGGCAAGCCGGGTTCGGTGGCTCAGCCTGTAATCTCGCGCCTTTGGGAGTCTGAGGTGAGTGCATTGCCTGTGCCCACGGGTTCGAGACCCACCTGGGCAGCAAGACCTCATCTCTACAATAAATCAAAAAAAAAAATCAGCCAGGCGTGGTAGCACATGCCTGTAATTCCGGCTACTTGGAAGGCTGAGGCGGAAGGATCACCGGAGCCAAGCAGATCGAGGCTGCAGTGGCCGAAAGCAGTCACTGCACTCCAGTCTGGGCGATAGAGTGAGACTCCAACTCAAAAAAAAAAAAAGAAAAAGAAAAAAAGTAAAAATGGGCAAAGGACTTGAATAGGCATTTCTGCAAAAGAGATAAACAAATGGCCAAGAAACATATGAAAAGGAGCTTGACATCATTAATCATTAGGAAACAAGCAAATCAAAACCACAGTGAGATACTACTTCACACACACTGGAATGGCTGTAATTTTTTAAAATACACAATAATGGCCAGGCTCAGTGGCTCAGCCTGTAATCCTGGCACTTTGGGAGGCCAAGGCGAGTGGATTACCTGAGCCTACAGGTTTGAGACCAGTTTGGGCAACTTGGCGAGATCTCTTCTCTACAATAAATCAAAAATTAGCCAGGAGCAGTAGCGCGTGCCTGTAGTTCCAGCTACTTGGAAGGGTGAGGTGGAAGGATAGCCAGAGCCTCGCAGGTTGACGCTGGGGTGGCCATGAGCCTGCCACTGCACTCCAGCCTGGGTGAAAGAGTGAGACTCCGATTCAAAAAATATAATAACAAGTGTTGTCAAAGATAGGCAGAAACTGGGACCTTCAAACACTGTTGCTATAAATATAAAATTGTACAGAGCTGTGAAAAAGTTTGGTAGTTCCTCAGTAAGTTAAAGATAGAATTAGTGTATGACCCAGCAATTCCCTTCTAGGTATATATACCCAGAAGAATGAAAACAGGTGTTCAAAAACTTATATACATGCATTCATAGAAGCACTATTAACAACAGTCATAAGGTGTAAACAACCCAAACATCCATCAACTGATGAATGAGTAAACAAAATGAGGTACAGCCACATAATGGAATATTATTTATTTACCCATAAAAGGGAATGAAGTCTGATACAAGGATGAATTACACTAAGTGAAAGCAGACACCAAAAAACATTGCATTATTACATTTATATAAAATATCAAGAATAGGTAAGCGAATAGAGACAGAAAATATAGATTAGTGGTTGTAAGGAACTGGGGTCAGAGATGAACAGAAAACAACTTTAAGAAATA